TCTTTTAAAACCTTGTTTAAAAATTTTCCTTCATATGAATATTCAGTATAATCAATCCATAGCCATGATTGCATCATTTCTGGAATCTTGCACTTGAACCTCTGATGTAAGAGAACAGTACATTCCAGGAAATTGAGCTTTTTCATTTTCTAGAAATTTCTATTTTGATCCATTCCCATGCCAATAAAAGGAATGTTTTCATTCTCAATTAAAGTGAAAATTAAAATTTAAATTAAACTTATTTTACCAGTTGCCACTCACACCACCATACCTCTCTACATAGAAAGCAGAGAGGAGACCTAGAGGATTTAAGCCCTCAGTACTTCTGGATTCACAGCTTACATCCTATGCATGCTCCAAATGCTCAAATCTCACAGAGACCATAAACTCCCTTCTATGCCTCTGCCTTCTGCTCCTGCAGCTTCTCACTCCACTGCACTTGGCAGAGTAGCTCCTCCAAAGGTACTTTCTCAACTACCCAACCTCATCCTGCCTCCTAATTGTCTCTCCAAGTTTTTTTTCACATCAGGCTAGAGAAAACGGTAAGGATGAGTCCTCCTTTTTGTCTACAGCTGCCTTGCCTGTCGCTGGGCTCTTGATCCTATTTTTTTCTAACGACCTCTGTGAAATCTGCAGCTGTTGCAAAGAGTGAAAAGTCAGTTGTGCATTGTATCCAAACTCATGGCTCTGATTCTCAAAAACTGAAATCTTCATTATCACTTTGGAAAGGAGCTGGCAGTTTCTCAGAAAGTCAAACATAGAGTTATCATCTAACCCAGGAATTTTGATCCAAAGTGTTTACCTAGGGCATTAAAAATATAGGCCAGACAAAATTCATACATAGATGTCCACATAGCATTATTTACAATAGCCAAAAAGTGGAAACAGCCCAAACATTCGTCAGCTCGTTAATGAGTAAACAAAATGATATATGCATATAATGGAATATTGCTCAGTCATAAAAAGCCATGACTGCTGGTTCCTGTTGCAGCACGGATGAACCTTGAAAATACTATACCAAGTAAAAGACATCAGGCACAAAAGGATACTGCTTGAATTTACTAGAAATCACAGAATCATACACTTAAAAAACTAAACTACAAAATACGCCATTTGCCAATTGTTTTGCTATCTAAGCTATCTGGCAGATTTAGATAGCAGTCAGAGCAGATTCTGAGATGCTTAGAAAGTTTGCCTGGAATAAATAAATGGTAGCTATTTCTATTTTCAGAGGGCTTATTTTGTCCTTGGATTGTACAAAAAAAGCCTTTGTTTAAATAATAGACATATTTTCTATTTCTTTCATTGTTATATTTAAAATCTGTGGCTTACAATTAAACTTCTACATGAATTCAGGTGAAAGTGAAAGCAATAACCAACGAATCTGCTGGATGATGTTAACTAACCAATAGAATGAATGACTACCGCACCTTCATGTAGGTGTTTAGCCAAATATGGCTCAAAACTTATATTTTGTATTTAATTCTTTCCATCTTCATCAGTGTTTCTAGTGGTATGTTTACTTAGGACAAATTACCCATAAAATATTATGCAAGTGAATGCTTAATAATTCATGCAAAATGTGAAGATATTCATTGCAATAAGTTTTTTCTGCTGTGCATTGTGCCTCGTAGTTGTGGGGAAGGAAGTGTTAAAAAAATATAATAGCCATGGTTTTTGACTTTAGAATTTTACTCATCAGACTTACAGAAAATTATGCTGGTGTTCATAGACCAGATATAGGGGGGGAAAGCCTTCAAAAGAGCTTATGCTTAATACTCTATTGTACTTCATGTAGAGGAAAGGGCTTTTAAAAATGGATGTGAAAAGTCCATCTTTATGCCCTCCACCACATAGCAACAAAGAAGTGATTTACATTTCAGCAAGAAAGAGTCAGAATTAGAACACAACATGGAGAGCTTCTGGCCACTGGAATGATCCTGACCACAGACATAAATGATTTGGAGAATTTATTACAAAATGAACTAGTAGAATAAATAGGATTGAAGAATAAAACTGTAAAACAATAAATTATAACAAATTAAGCAAAGTTCTGCTTCAGAGTGGATGATAGCCTAGAACTCTTTCTAAATCATCCTATATAGTTATATCATTTCAGTATCACCCAGAACTGGCATATCGCCACCATACATCTGATTGAGTAAGAACTGGGAACACTGAACAAGTTTCAGGCAGGGGGCAAATCTGATTACAAGGCATAATGAATAGAAAAACACGTTTATAGCTCCATTTTGCATTTTCTACATTCCTTTTAGTATCTAGATTTCAAATTTTAAATTTTCTAATGGCTAAAGTAACTTCCTTTAACAGAAGATTTTGAAAATTGCAATGATTTAATTGGTTCACATTAAAGACTCTTAGAAGCCTAAAGAAAACGTCTTTCCAGATGAGCAAGAGGTTGGATAAATGTAATGACATATGGTTTGTTTTTTATAGCTACAATATGCGAAAAATAGTAGCATAACACATGTATTCAATGATATATATGTATTTATACATACAAATATATATTCTGCTTATAAATTATGAGATAAGATTCTTTTGTACAAATATAATTTTGTTTTCTTTCTCTTTCTTGTTCCCTTTAAGAATAAAAATAACAACTGAAACTTAGAACAATTTTAAACATCTCATTATACCGAGGATCTTGCAAAAGATAAAATCAACGAATGCAAAGCCATGTTGCCACACGGTCCCCTGCACAGACTTGTAAGCGAGCTGTCTGCAGGGTCTCAGAGCCTCAGGGCAGGAAGACTGTCCATTGATCTTATTATGAAGTCTCCCCTCCCCCTGCGGGCTCCCTCAGAATCATTCCAGATGGATGGGTCGTGAACTGATCCTTAGTATCTCTCAGGAAGGGTATTTCTCACATCCTCTGGCAAACTCAGAACTTCCCCTGGAAGTTTTTCTTTTATTGCCCCTGTCTCCCTGAGCCCATCAATTCACTCACAGAGATGCAAAGGACATCCAATTATTATATTTTATGTACTCCATTTTTGAATTTTCAAAAGTTAGTGTTTAAGTGATGACCTCCTTATCTTTAAAGCTAAATAAAAATCTCAATTGATATAAGCATTTCTCTCAAACTCTGCTTTTATTTTTTCATAGTTGTTAATCCTTGGAAGGTTTACAACTATTTTCAGGAAGGCCTTATTTTGGAGGAGAGTGTCCTAACCTATAAAGAGCACAGCACATTGAGATTACCTCCAAGAATTTAAAAAAACATAAATTCATAGCAAAAGCTTGATTGGTCTCCTCCTCAGTTTCCTTAACAGACCTGAGGTCTGTCCAGGGATAGGCCTAGAATTGACTCTGCCAAAACATTTAATAAAATATAGTTACTATGCTTATGAAAAGCAGAGAAGGACAATCATGTTAAACCAATCCACACTTTCAAGCCTTCACTGCTTTGATGTTACTCGAGAGGGACCTCAGGCTTGACACCTTTCGTTGCTCTTCCACCCCCTCTGCTGGTAATGCCAAGAAGCAATCCTCGGACCAAGACACTAGTAGCACCGGTGAAGAGGTGAAGAGAGGCGGGTGCTTCAAGAAGCTGTGATTTTCAGACTTTAATATGAAAACTCATTTCTGGAGATCTTGTTAATATCTAGGTTCTATTTCAGTAAGTCTGAGCTGTGACATGAGATTTTGCAATTGTAGCAAGCTCCCAGGCCATGCTGGACCTTCTACTACACTTTGAATACTTCCATACCATCAAAAATAACTAGCACAAAAATCTCTCAGTGAAACCTTCTAGTCTGACAGTAATCTGATATCTGCAGCTTTTATGAAGCTGTATATCTAGTAGTTGCTGTAACTCACAAAGTAAAGTGTTTAACTTCACTTGGAATATTTCTGTAGTTACACCAATGATCTATTTCCACATATGTCCTAACCATGCAGTTGACTACATTAGAATACTGGAATCTAGATAGGAAATGTTGTGATGAATGAGATTGTATTTTAAACGGAACATTGAACCACCCCTGTAGTTTTATAATCAGTAACACAGGCCCAAAGAGACTATGTGCCTTGTCCGAGGTCACATAGCTTGTACATAGTAGCAGAAGTAAATTTAATTAGACCGACAAGAGTTCTCATACTGTCAGTCCAAATTATTTTCCAATTTGTATATTTTTGCAAAGTAACAGAATCATATCTGCTACATTCTACAGATCATTAAGGATCTGATACAATAAGTCACAAACAGTAAGAAGTATGATTATGCATCTTACCTCAACAGTCCCTCACATCTTATTCTTTGTAATGTAGCACCCTACCCTCCTATTAGATGAATTGGATTTTTAATGTCCAGTAGAAAGAAAAAGAATAACTAGACCTTGTCTTGTTAGCATCACCTGTCTTGGATGTTTGGACTCATTAGTTTTATCCTCTCTACTTTCAATTAATTAAAACAAGATATATTAGGTCTTAATTGTTCTTTAAAATTTCCCTCAAAAATAACACAAGTTAAGTCCAAATAGGAGTGGGGAGAGGAGTCCTAATAAGTATGTATTTAATAAATGATTTGTTATTTGGCTGGAAGAACGAGTGCACTCACGTAAACTCATCATGGATAAACAGCAAAGCAAAGGGTGTCTAAGATCCTCAGATGACGCCGTGCTCTTCAAAGTCAAAATTCGCTTTAGAGAAACGTAAGTTATTATCAGGCAGACAGAGGTTAGACGGTGAATTTTCAAATTGCCCTTTCAAGTCTCAACACCACCAAAAAAAAGACACAAGAGTAAATAAAAAGTTTCCGGGTCTCTGAAGTCCCATCTAATACAAGCATAGAATGTAGATGAGCAAAGTGAGTGGGCGAGTGAAATCATTTGTAACAAAAACCCATTATTTACAGATGAGAAATTTATATTGTCAGCATAATATCTGTGAGGCTAAACGGAGCTGGAGGGCATATAAAAGCAGAGCGCTTCGGCACAGAAGTGCAGAGCTCGGGGCACAGAGGACATCCACAGGTTCACAGTGGGCTGGCCCGCTAAGCGCTCCACCTATTCCGCACCACACCCTACCAGCAGAAGGTAAGATTAAGGCTGGGAGATTAGAACTGTAAAGCCTGTTTGGAGAACGGCGAAGTATTTTTAAGGATTATCAATTAAGGGGTTTCTCTTTCATTCTTTTCTTTATTAATAAGGACAGAATTGAGATGAAAAACTACCAAATATACTTACACTACTTTAACATAATAAAGCGACAAAGTAATTTACTGCAATAATTCAATGCAAAGATTTAAAATAGAAGGAAAAAGAAAGATTTACATCTATGGATTTGTTACAAGACTTAACCATTATGAGAGCTGTCTGTTTAAATAATTAGAAATATTGTGAACAATGAACATTTTTTCTTGGATTTGATAGATGTGTATACTACTCTGAACAGAAGGTGCCTTTTATATTCAGCAGAAATGTTTCCATTATAGAAGATATAACAATAATTTGTCCTCATCAATTAAAACCTCTAGTTATTCAAAAAAAAAGATTGTTACCATCCTTCACATACGGTAATTTCTGAAAAGTCTGACCAAAAATCAATGTCCACAAAATCAGCTGTTTGTAAATAAGCCATCGCATATTTGGTATAGAGAAGAAATATCATTTGTTACCAGGGATTTCTTTAGATAGATCTAATGCCAGAAATTAATAATTAATTACTATGCATTGAAGACCAGTAGTAATAAATAACTAAATAGCTATACTCTGGAATGAAATTTTAGTACATCTCTCAAGAAAAGTGTTAGAGGTTTTAAAGTACTTATTTAAGCTCCTAAAGACAAAGAACACATTTACAAAGATCCCCCACAAGGTAAGGGCCTAAGTGGTGTGCCTTTCAATACAACAAACCTGTTATGAAATGAGCTGACCAATTTTTAAAGTAGCCTACAGCACCAATGTATTTTGGGATATAAGGTCTTCTTTTCTAGATCTAAGATTAATCTTTCTAAAAGACTTCTTACGCCAACAATTACTACCATTACCATATTTTTTTAAAAATATGAATAAAAATGTGTAATTCTTCCAAAACAACATACTGTTTCCTTAGGTTACTAAACGAGGGGAAAAGTAATAGGAAATTATTTTCTTATTGAATAAAATCATGATACTAAACCAACATAAACTAACAGAAATTATTTACTTCACCAGCAGTGAGACTCAAACAGTGAATTTACACAAAAATGAATATGTGAGATTAATAAAAAGTCAGTTCTTTCAGTAGAACTCATTTGATTCTAGTAGAAGACTTAGAAAATTTTCTTCATTTTGGTTGTTTATTCCCCCATTGTCTCCCAAGTAGAATACCCATACAACTGTCCCAATAGAACCCAAGATATTGCAAAAGTTTTCTGAACTTTGGGTAAAAAAAATAATTTAGAAATAAATTCATAGTTCTCAGTCTTTTACAAGAAACTTTCCAAAAGTATAATTCCAAAAGGTAGTGCTTGGTTTAATTTTTAAATAATCTTAAAAGATTATGATTGAAAATTACAATCAGAAAATATTACCCAAATATGCACCTTCTAAAACTTGTCAACTGGTTAAACAGAAGCATAAAAAAATGCCCACTCATTTAACATGGATGAACAAAAAGGGTGAATTTATAATTCCCTTTATGTTGCTTTGTCTAATTGGCTAGTTAATCTGCAAGCCCTTAAAATTTCAAAGTAAAGTTACCACTGCAGGTATTACTATGTATATAGTTTCTGTGTTTTGGTGCTAAGAAAGAGTAAATATGACTGGGATGTTAAAGAAAAGACTGATAGTTTAAAATGATAATATTTGTAAAATCCTTATTTCAAGCCAAATGTCATTTGCTAAAAATACTCCTTCAAATTATTTATGGATAAACATAAGGAAACTTGGGTGGAAATCCCCATTTCTCAAAAAGAAAAAAAAAAGAAAAACAAAAAGAAAAAAAGGCATGGTTGGGTTTAAAAGTAGCAGAGAGGTGTCCAGGACAAATGCTGAACTTGTGGTTTTTATTCAGTACAGAGACACTTACTCTATGGGGATGCTCTGCCCACAGTGGTGTCGGTCCCTAACCCAACCACACAGCACCATCAAGTCTTTGGCATTTTTTGGCTTCATGGGGCATTTGCTTTTGACACAAAGACAAGAAATCAGATATATCCTAAAACCAGGTCTATGTTATCACTAACTGAAAGTGTCGTGTCCTGGACTAAATCCAAATTAAAAAAAAAAAAAAAAAAAAACTAGGGACTTCCAAGACTTCAGAAGCAAGCACTAATTTTCTTTATGATATTAATCTCTTAATTCCTAGTTGTGATTGTTCAAGTTACCAGAAGCATTAGTTCTTGTTGCAAATTGCTTGTCTTTAAAATGATTTTTCCCTTTAATTTAGAACAGGTCAAAGCACCCTAAAATACCTCAAATCTGTTGGCCGCTTTATAATTACAAAGTCTAGACCAAGTTACACTATTTAAAATATAAATGAATAATACATCTGAACCGACAGCTGGTATGCCAAGTTGTAGCCTGAGGCTGCTTTAAGATGGTTGAAATGCAGTATAATGTAAATGCTTGGAAGTGAAGGACTATTAATTGAAAGCCAGACTGATAGCGAAAGGGGTGGCATTATAGATAAGGTGCCATTCAGGCTAACCATATGTAGCGTATCATCTACAGTGGATATTTTAAATGTTGATTGTGGACATTTTTTATTTCAAGTCTGGAAATGTGCCTTCTAATCATTAACAGAAGTGTTCTACATTCATGAAAAAGCTTAAAGGTGCAAGGCATCTTTTGTAGTCTTTTTTGCCTCCAAAAAATCTAGGGAAAATATCAAGTACTGTTTGAAATGAAGTTGAAAATACAATCAGAATAGAATTGAAAGGATGATTGTTTCTTTCTTTTTATAATATTTACCTAAGCAAAATTAAACTCACTCTGATAAGTTTAAATATAGCTATTTGTCCCCCCCACACACCCCTACTGTGTTCTGACAGGCAGCAAAAATGAAGAGCATTTACTTTGTGGCTGGATTGTTTATAATGCTGGTACAAGGCAGCTGGCAACGTTCCCTTCAAGACACAGAGGAGAATCCCAGGTATTAAACCTAGACTTAAATTAAGAGTACTCTGATTAGAATAAAGTCTATGAGAACTATAATCACTGATTATATCTCAGTAATATGGAATGAATACTCTGCACAATTTTCATATGTTTAAAGCATCCTTGTGATAAAGTCAAGCTTTTCAGGAGTGTAAACCAGAGTACGTGTCATTTCAGAATCAAACAAGTGGTGGGCAATGCTGAAAAACATATACACAGAAAATTGTTGCTCTGTAGAGTATCCTACTTATCCATTCATAACACAGGCTGTGAAATGACTTTAATTATTCTATTTTCTCCTTTTCATTCCTTTTTAAAAATAACATTGTTCCTTGTTAGTTGTAAAATTTGTACACATTCGTGATGTAAAATATGAAAAGTATACAAATAAGTAACTTCAAAATTCTACTATCTAACAAAAACTATTCAAAGTTTTAAAAGAAAGTATTGCCTTCCTGAATTTTACGTTAATGTATAAAATTTCTCAGCTTATGATATGGCCTTGTATTATGTTTTTTCTCCTAATGCAATACTGTTAGCTTTATCTTATATCATTAGAATATATATTAAATGTGTATTTAGTGGTTGTACACTATTTCATCTCATAAATGTACAACACTTATCTAGATATTCCTCTTCTATAGAATATTTAAGAGGCCTTCAAATTTTCCTATATAAAATAACATTTTGTATATACTACTCTCTGCATTTTTCAGTTATCTGTGTGTAGGTTTCTAACAGTAGAATTACCATGTCAAATAGTTTGACATTCATTACTCTTTTAAAATATTCAAGTCACTGCTCTCTTCTGTCATTATTGGCATATTCATGAGTACATTAATTAGTTGAGGAATATTTAATCTTATTTCAGGAAAAAATGAAGCCAAGTGAGAAACCTATTACTAGAATTCAGGGTATGATGTATTCAACTATACTAAAACCTTGAGATTTCCATGAGAAGCTAAGGTCTTTCTAAACTATGAACTGAAATGCCTGTTCTATTGCTCCAAAGGATCCTGTATCTTGTAGTGAGTCCTCTTAAGTAAGTCTGCTCTTGGAGAGATTTACATTGCACCAATCATTGTTTTCCACAGATCTTTCTCAGCTTCCCGAGCAGACGTGCTGGATGATCCAGACCAGATGAATGAAGACAAGCGTCATTCACAGGGCACATTCACCAGTGACTATAGCAAGCACCTGGACTCCAGGTATGCTCAAGAGTTTGTGCAGTGGCTGATGAACACCAAGAGGAACAGGTAAGAACTTCAACATGGTCTGAAAAGTGAGCAAAGGTTTATTAAATGTATTTAAATTTTGCCTTTCTTAAGTTACCATGCTCACTAAGTAATGCACATAAGGTCTTTGATGACTTCCAGGGTTAGAGGTGTGGCCTTTCATATCATTTCTCTATGTGCATTACCTTTCAGCCCCCCGAACACCATACCCACATGCCAATGTGACACAGATTTTATGTTCCAAACTATATTCCCAAATATGGTCTTTGGAATATTTATTTTTATCCATTTTTCCTTAAAACTGAGACTCAAGGTTTTGTGGAACCTCAAGGTTAGGAATCAAATTTCTAACTAAAACACACAGCAAATTCAACATTCCTATGTGGGGTTCAAATCTACAACTGTGATGATATTAAAATTATCCCCTAGCCAAGTTCATCAAGGTAAGGAATAGAAATAGATGCATTCCATGTCTTGTAGAATGAAATCTAAGATATGCATTTAAAATTGCAGCCTAGCTAGCTGCACAGCATAAAGAGAAGGCAGCAAATAAGAGCACAAACCTATCATAACATATACATTTTAAGGCTGGATTTTCTTTGACTAGTGTTGGGGTTTTTGCTGCTTCTAGGGTACAGAGAAAATTATCCACAAGGGTTTCACAGAGATGGTGGAAATTCACAATTTCTTTGGAGGGTGGCCCACAAGGAGAAAGGAGTTATGCATACAAAGTAGCTGAAGGAATCTGAAAATCAGGAAAAGGACATAGATTTGTCTAGATAGAATGGAGAGGGAGAAAGAGGAAATGCAAGCCTAAGAGAGTCTGGAGCAGTCAGGAGAAATATCAGGAACAGAGCAGCCAACCAAAGTTATATGAAAGCTGAGGGTCCCACTACAAGACAGACGGTGTGAGGGTCAGACCAGACATAGGTAGAGATCTTTGTCAAGGGTGACAGTTAGGCCTTCTGAGAAATGTAAGAAATCACAAATTTATAAAAATAAAAACAACTCTTCCCATTTTTTTAGTACCGGAATGCTGCAACTTGGTAACTTAATATAAGCATTCCCCCACTCAGGTATTTATTGTATGTTTAAGGTGAAACCTCCAGGGTAACACTTGCCAGGGAGACAGATAGAACGCAACCTCTACAGAGTGCTCTGCATCCACTTGGAGCTGAGATGGGATGATCTTCTTCGCTTTCTCCTAGAAAATCAGACAATTTCATTTATACGTTATCATGTGGGATTTTTGATGACATTTCCAGATTGTCCTTTGCTTTTCCTTGTATCAGTTAACTGTGACCCCATACTTACATGTCCTAGTAAGAAACACCTACCTGACTTTTGAATAGCAGAGGAAAATAGAAGTCTACATTTTCATCTAGTGAGACAAACTAAAAAGTAATGCAGCTTTAAAAACTAATGGCACAGGTAAGCAGGACAGGAGAAAACAGGAATGCTGGGAAGGGAAGGGGTGTCTTTCTAAATTCCTAAGTATTCATTATTAGCCCTCTCCCACCATTCTTTAATCCCAATTATTAGTGTAACTTCAAAATGAATCCCCTGACTACCCTCCTCTCCCAAGTTTCCTAAGCCCCCGTTACACTGTAATCTAAATTCCAGGTTGCCAGTGGCTATCAGTGAGAACTGAAAGCCAAAGATGCAGAGCCTCAACTTCACTTTCACATTTCTTCCAGGAATAACATTGCCAAACGTCATGATGAATTTGAGAGACATGCTGAAGGGACCTTTACTAGCGATGTCAGTTCTTATTTGGAAGGCCAAGCTGCAAAAGAATTCATTGCTTGGCTGGTGAAAGGCCGAGGAAGACGAGAGTAAGTCTGTACATTCTTACCTGATATTTCTTCCCTTTGATGCCAAAAAATTTATATATATGTATATATATATATATATAGAGAGAGAGAGAGAGTGGGATTATAAAAGCAATTAGTATATTCTCACCAAGTAAGGAAATAGCTCCTACTGATGAGAAATAATACATAAATTTTGCTAGCAGGTACTAATAGAGTCTATCACAGTACATTTCTTTTTTAAGATTTATTTTAGAAGTAAAACAATGAAATTCTATCTCCCACTGTAGCTGTGTTATAATTAGATACTGACTCATCCAGGTGAGGCATATTTGAAAGTAAATACTATCCTTTTGATAACCGCACTGGGCCAACAAATTTCGACAGTCCCAAGAAAGCTAGATATAAGGAAAAAGAATGAATCATGCCAAAAACTTCAAACATTTCAATATTTAAATAAAATTTTTCGTACTTGGCTTGATATAGTGTCATGTGTGATTAACATATAGTCATGTTAATAAATATTTGTATAAACATGTGGTGAAGACAAAAATGACCAAACATAAGATGTTAAGAACACTCAGAGTAAAGATGTGGAGAAACAGTCATATATTGAGCTACATACTCAGTACCTGGATGGTGATGTCAGATAGATATAAGCAATCAAAGCTGAAAATGAGACTGAGATGATTAGTAACTTGCTTGGATCGTCACACAGACCCTTGAACCATCCCATTTTCCAATAACCATTTCCATCAGCATTTGGTAAGTAAGCGGCAAGAAATATGTGATCAGGGAACTCCATCATTAAATCAGAATGAAAACATACTTATGCAGATTTAAAAAGATCTCAAAATAAAAAGAAATTTGCATTGTGGCTGACTTTAAATTGTTAACCAAACTCATAGAATCAGTGGTAAAATAGTTGCTTCCACTTGAGGATTTCTACAGTACTATAAAGGATACCCAAAAGTCTGCTAAGGCAAATCAGGGAAAGAGAAAATCTAATACAGATAAGTCTCAATCTCTTAATATTGCATTTTGCAAAGCTTTATTGATAATAGTGTGATTATGATATGATACATTTTACAAAATTATAGCTAAATTAATAGTCTCAATAGTAGCTTCTGTATATAGAAGATACTAAAATCTTTGAAGCAACCTGGAATATTACAAGGGATGTGAAGTTAAACAGATTTGGTCTCTGATCCCAGCTCTGCAACCTTCTACCTTTACAATGGTCCCTAGTTCACGTGGGTATTTATGAAGGGTTTTCTCTTAGGCTCTTTGTACACAAAATCCTGACCTGAATACTCAATAACCCTTGCATGTTACCAATGGTAGAAATCCATAGCATTTACTCGTAATGTCTAACCAATGACAGCTTTAACCCTCATTTTCTTAGCTTTCCAGAAGAAGTCACCATTGTTGAAGAACTCCGCCGCAGACATGCTGATGGTTCTTTCTCAGATGAGATGAACACCGTTCTTGACAATCTTGCCACCAGGGACTTTATCAACTGGCTGATTCAGACCAAAATCACTGACAGGTGATTGCATTTTCAGTTAATTGTAAAAACTGTTCAAACTTTCATAATTTTTGTCAACTGCTACAAGTTATCCCCCATATGAAGGAGAGAGTCTAGACTCTGTTTTTATACAGCAAAAAGTATGTATGCCTAAATCCATTAAGAGTCACTCACTTATTAATGTCATTTTGAAATTGCTATATATGCTGAAATTTTAACACAGGGTGAAATATCATTGTATGTTACATAATTTACTCAATTTACTAAGCAGAGTAGTAAAAATGAGACAAAATATAACCAATTACTACTGATGTTTTTAAAAATCATACAAATCTTTATAATTTTTGATGGACAAAGTTTAGATAAGTCATTTTTAAATGAAAAATACATGAATAGTCCAAAAGACTGAAGGATTTACAAATCAAGGGGTTGGTAAGCAACTTGTATCAAAAATCACTGAAATGATTCCTGGATGAGTTAACTATATTATCTGGATATTATAATTGTGTTAAATCATTGCTTTTTATTTTTTATCCATAGGAAATAAGTGGGTCATTATTCAAGACCATCTTCACATCGCCTGCCATCCACTTAGGATGTTTGAAATTTTAAGTTTTGTAATTTTAAGAGATGTATTCTGAATATTACTTTGCATGCTAATAAATTTGCTTTTAGCATTGTGCAGCCAAATGATTACAAGTGGAATAAACTACTGTCAGAATATTGCTAAAATATCAACTTTATATTATAAAAGTCCTAAATTATCTTGCTTTAGTCTTATTTTGGTTGAAGTACCCCAACTTGTTTACATTTAGCAATGAAATTATTTTTCTATTACATAATTTGTAAATGTAAATTATTCCAATCTGAGCATACCTGCATGCAATACCAGGAGAAACGAAGAACTGGTAGCCACGGTAGTGAAACGGAAAAGAGCGCTTCTTACAGCCTTTATCATAAAAGTGCTCAGCTTTCAATGTATCGAACAGAGAACTAATAAAATTTTCAAGCTTCTTTAGTATTTTGTCTGCTTTCTCTTTATATGTTGCCTTCTAAGCATGCGTTCTTCCTAAACTAGTAGGCTGCTACTCGTCTAAAGCACAAATACGTCTCCATGTTTTGAGCTGCTACATAGCACTTTAACATTTCGAACTAATATTGAAAAATCAGTGCTTTTTTATAAAAGTGCTGGTTTTGGGTGTCTTTAGAAAGTCTCCCTGGAAGCTAGGTAGCAGCTTCCACCTTCTAAAGGGTTACGCTGTCCCTGTCATGCCTCCTACTCACACACACACATGCACACAACACAACCTTCCTACACCCAAAGACCCTATCTATGTACCTACGTACACATCTAGATACTGATCTCTGGCTCAGTTTACTTATACTCTCACCAGTCTAGCACCAGTAGACATTTGAATTTGTTTAAAAATGCCCAGTACTTTGGTATCCCTGATCTCTGGTGGTCAATATCTTTGAGCCAGACTGATGCTTATTAGCATACCCAAGATTTTTCTCTGATGGATATAGATTACCACTTCTATTTCTCTATCTCTACAGCACTCTTATAAGGTAGACTTGCCTACAAACAAGATTACAAAATTAGTAAATTCTTTACTTTAATCAGTAATAAATTTGATACCTTTAATTCACTCTCATTCATTTACAAATTTAAGAGGAGAGTTACTTAAGTCAGGCTAGCGTTAGCTGAAGGATCTTGAGCAGGTCATTTACATTCTTTGGGCTTGATTCTTAATGTGAAAAGATAAGCTTAAAATCATGTAAGCAATATCAGATATTACAATCATCAGTATTTATAATTCTGGGTTTTATAATGTTTTATAATGAGTTATCAGTAATAATGGCTTCCTGAAGTACTCCCTCTAAAATAGTCATGGGACATGTCAGAGCAGAAATTACCTCTGTATATAACAAGATTACATCTGTCAGCCTCTCTAGAACACAAACCATCATGTCTTCCACAAAAGTATCTCAAAGAAGAATCTTCACAGGTTACATAACTACTCTCAAAGAAGTTTCTCTTTGTTTATCAGCCTTCTTTTTCCTGTAGAAGGTAGTAGTGTTGACTGTTAAACCATTCACCAATAAGGTCAAAGAACTGCCTTTTTTCAAAGCTATGGCTGAAGGAGCTCAAGGCAATTCACTAATGCTTACTATGCTTCCTTTCACGCAAATTATCTTGCACAACACTGTTCCCACAAGGGAACTAACAAGCACCTCTAGAACTGAAACATGATTTGAAAGCTGAATGTGTGTATGTGTTTTCTCATGATGCCAGGGTTTTGAGGATATCCCTGTGCATAATGTAATTAGAAAACCATCTTCAGAACCACAGAATATTCTCATAGGGAACAAAGTGGATAGCTGAGAAAGCTGGCACCTGGCAGGGGTGTATGGAAGAGAAGAACATAAAAATCATGAGTGTGAGCCAGGCTAAAAAGCTGCAAAAGGTCAAAACTAGAAAAGATGAATCTACCCTTAAGATCTAGGGGCAAACAGAAGTATGAAAATGGAAAATGAATGAAGAAGCCATGTAAGCACTGAAGTTAAATTTATTAGACATAATGCTCCACTATGTGTAAAACAAACCCAGTGATAGGAACTAAACCAAATATATGGTTTTTATACAAAACAAGAGGTCCAGAAAAAGTTTCAGGGCAAATATGCCAAGGATAGCCCAAGGTCTTTCTTTTTCTGCTCTACCATCATTAACGGCTTCCCGCCCATGACTACCACAAAACTGAAAGATGGGTAGTCTATTCCCAGCTCCTATCTACTTTCTACAGAAGACAAAGAATAAGAGGGAGATGGACGACAGGGAAAGGAAAGAGAAAAAAGTGAAAGAGGAAAGCAAAAAGAGGACTAGGAAAGAAGAACTGACAATCAGGGAGGGAATGCACCAATTTAGAAAAAGTGAACATTGCTAGGGATCCCCAGATTATCAATTGTGCAGTTTTGTCCAGAAATGAATCTTGTGACCCATTTTAACTACAAGAGAGGATGAGAAATGCTGTTTTTCAAGTGGACATATTGCATTTCAAACAAAACTCTATTAATAAAGCAAAGAGAAAGGTCAAGATTATGTTGGCTACTAAAATGAAAAGGCATATTACCACAGTCAGAGTTGAAACACCCAAGACTCCTTTTATCCACACTTTTGTACAATGAAGCTCTGTTGATATAATTTAAGGTTAATTTTTTTTTACAGAATGCTGGACTCATTATGAACACAGTGGATGAAACACCCAACAAAAACATATTGGACACCATTCAGCAGAAGACTGGCACAGATGCCTTACCCCTTTAACAGTGGTACTAAGATATAAAACACAAAATCGCTACTCATATTTACATAAAACAATATTATAAAAGTGAGGCTAAATGAAACAAATGAATTTACTTATTAAAAGAAAAAATTATCAGATTAAGCAATAATGCAAAATTCAACTATACGCTGTATGGAAAAGGTACACTTAAAATACACAGGAATATTAAAAGAATTAAAAATAAAAGCAAAAAGTAGCCAGGCAAATGTAAATAGAAAAGAAAGCAGGGACTGTATTCTTGACACCAGAAAAGATAGAACTTCACAAAAAAGTTAGATAAGGAATAGGACACTTTAATATGCTAAACACTATCATTATAATGAAGGGTCACATAATGGTTGCTATCCAGTCACATATCAATCAATTTTACAATGCTGAAACTATATGAAATTCAGGGAGAAATAGAGATACAGTAATAACAGAAAACTTTGAACACTCCTCTCTTAGTCCAATATGGTGTCAGTGAAGCAAAATTTAGGATACAGGCCATCTGTACCCTAATCAATATGGTTGCTTTTATAGTTACAAATCAAACTATGAATTGTGATGAAATAAGATACATGTTTTTCCAGAGTACATGGAACATGCACAAAAGTCAGTCATACACCAAAGCATAAATAAAATTTACAATGCTCACTGGTGACAATGCAATGAAAAATGAATTTAAAACTCATGTTTTAAAAGCATTCTTTTCACCTGGACATTAAAATACATGAGATTAACCCTTGGGTCAAAGCCAAATTACAATAAAAAATTCTAGAATGTGAAAATAAATGAAAATGCATCTAAATGACATTGCTAGAGCATGGCTGCCAGAGAAATTCTTACTATGAAACACTGGGAAAATGCAAAGAAACACCAATAAAAATAAATACATAAAACATGAATCCCACAAGCTATGGAAAGACTAAAAGTAATCATAAATAAAAATAAATTAGATAAAGTAATAAAGAAAAAGGAAAAAATACGCAGATAGAAAATATAAATATGGCCAGGGATACAGCTCAGTGGTACAGCACTTGCCTGGCAAGCGCAAGGTTCTGAGTTCAATTCCTAGTATCAAAAAAAAAAAAAGAAAAGAAAAGAAAAGAAAAAATATGAATAGTACAACTCATGATTAAATAAAATTGCAGGTCTTTTAAAGAGAAAATTCAGCAAAATAAATTACTAAAATGTTTTTAAAGAAAGAGGTAAAGTATAAATTTTAAAATGAAAAGTAACAAACAGAAAATAATTATCAAGGTAAAGGAGTTTTTAAATTATGAGGTTAGTTTGAACAACTAAATGTTACTACATTTGAAAACTTAGGATAAGAAACTTTATAGGAAAGTATAATTTACCAAAATTGTCCCTAACATGTAAGAATAAACTAAAGAGATCATTTTCACTAAAGAAAAACATAGAGTTTAAAAGATCTTACACAGAAGTTTCTTGACCAAATGTTTTCACAGTAGATTAACCTGAAAGTACTACTTAACCTGGAAATAAAAACTCATAATTCTTTTTTCTGACATAAATATTACATTGATAACAAAATATGAAAATAAGTTATGTCAAATTTTACAGGTAAATGCCAGTTATGAAGATAGATGCAATAACTTAAAATGTTAAAAAAGGATATATGTATTAAAAATAATATGACCAAGGAGAATTATGGTATGATGTAAAATGATCTGATATAAAAATTCTTTAATTCATGGTATTAATAATCACAAGAAAACCACAATATCATCTCTTAAAACACCTAAAGGCCCTAGAAAATGTTAAATCCTCATCCAGGGAGAAATGGCAATTGATGGATAATTTTTAATATGATAAAGTACATCATATATTGCAATGTACATACTATATAAATTCCTCATTTAGTGAACAATTCAGTTAGTAATCTAGTTGAAGGAACAAGACTGTCATTAAACAAGGGATGTCTGCAGTATGTAACACTATTTTAGAGGTATTAAGAAATATAGGTAAGACAACATACATAATCAAGAAGACTAGGGGCTGGGGATATAGCTCAGTGGTGCAAGCACCTGCCTCGCAAAAGTGAGGTCATGAGTTCAATTCCCAGTACTGAAAAAATAAAACAAACAAATGAACAAAGAAGACTATAGTAAAACTATATCTATTTGAGCATATGCTTGTATAACTGAAGAACAAAAAAGAACCAGTGAAAAAAGCAGATGTTTGGAAAACAATAAGAAAATATTGGAAGGATATAGAGAAAGGTACAATTATTGTTATATGTAGGAGTTAAG